TATGAATTAACAAAATTATTTTTATAATTATTTTTAGATTTTATATATTATAATAAATATATCTTTTTAAATAGTGATTAATAAATTAATACTTTTAAATTTATACAAAAAAAAAAAATTAATATAAAATTTTAATATATTATATATAAAAAAATTTAACTAAAAAAAGAATATAATTATATTTTATATTAAATATAATTATTAAAATTATTTAAATTTAAAATAGTAAAGAAAATAATAAAAATATAAAAAATAAAATATAAAATAATTGTAAATATATATAAAAAATAAAATAAATATAAAAATAAAATAAAAAAAACATATTTATTAAAATTTATGATAATAAAAATAATAAATAAATATATAATATTAATCTATTAAAAATAAAAATATATATATTAATAATACTTAAATAAATGTAAACAAAAAATATTATTAAATATATTTAATACATTTAAATTTTAAATTTAATATAATATTCTTTATAATAAAAATATATAATTTTATTAAAAACTTCATTATTAATTTTTTAAAAAAAAATAAAATACTTAAAAATTTTTATTTAGTAAAATATTTTTTACATTTTTGTTATTAAAAATATTAATTTTAGATGTATTAGAAATTAAATTTTTTTTTATTAGACTCCTGATATTTTATTAAACATCATGAAAAGAAAATTAAAAAAAAAATTTAAATATATTATAAAAAAAATAATAAATAAATTAAATTACATATATATATATATTTATTTTTTTATTTATTTTTTTTTTTTTTTATTTTTATTTTTTATTATTTTTTTAAATAAATGGTTCTATAAATATATTTACTTTATTTTAATTTACAACATTTAATTAATATATTAAATATATATAATGAATTTTTTTTTTTTTTTTTAAGTTTTTAATATCATATATCAAATAACAATTATATTTAATTAATTTTATTATTTTTATTTATTATTATATTTTTTTGATAATGTATATGGTTAAATAATTTTATTTATTAATTATCATAAAATAATTTATAAAACATAATTTTTTTTTTTTTTTTTATATTTATATATATAATATTTTATGAATTTAATTTTTTTTTTAATAATTATGAAAATAATTTGATCATATGTATTTTTAATTTTTTAAATATTAATTTATTCATAATAATTTTAATAATTTTTTTTTATTATATAAAATTAAATAATAATTAAAACCTCTTAATATTAATAAATAATTTTAATAATAATATTAATATAATAATATATTAAATCTTATATAAATAAAATTATTTTAATTAAAATAATATATTTTAAATAATATAAAATTACAATATCAAATAAAAGATATAATATTTTTATATAAAATTTATTCGTATTATTTTATTTTTAGTTAAATTTTTAAAATATAATTAAAAAAATAATTAAATATATTTATATTCGTATTAATTTTCAAATTCAATAATAAATCTTTAAAATAAATGTAAAAATTATTATCATTCGATATTAACATTATCATTTTTTTTTTAAAAAAAAAATCTAAATCTTAAATTTATTTATTTTTATTGTTATTTACATTTTTGTTATCAAAAATTTTATTTTTGTTTGTTTTTGATATTAATTATTTTATTTAATAAAAATCATATTAATTTTTTTAAATTACATTATGTTTTTTTCTAAATAATTATTTCAAAAACTATCTTTTATAATATAAAAATGGTTTACTTTTAATATACATATATATATTAATAAAATAAAATGAGATATATAATCCCTTTATTTAAAATAATACGTTTATTGTATTGATATAATTAAAATTTTAAATACAATTAATCTTATTATTGCATAAATAAAAGGATAGAAAAACATTATTAAAAGTAAAAATTATATTTATTTAATGAATAATTTTAATAAAAAAATGAAACAATAGTTTTTAAAATATCTTAAGAACTCGTTATAATAATTATCATGCTTATATTATTTCAATGTATAATTGAATTTTTTCTTTAAAGGATTCAAATACTACTTTATATATTTAATTAAAAAAATTCAAAATATAAGCTATAATACTAAACAATATTTCTATTAAAAAAAATTATATAAATGGTTATATTACTTAAGTTGTGATTTTTTTTATAAAAGAAAAAATTTAATTTACTATAAATAAATATACATCATATTTATTATTATTAAGAAGTATTTTAAAATGATAATTATAATAAAAAAATTATTATTAGAAGCAAAATTCATTATAAATAAAAAAGAAAAACAAAAATACTAAAAAGATAAGCAAAACATATAAATTTAATAAAATATATTATTATAAAAAGATAAGAACTTATGGTTTAATAAGAGTTTGAAAGAAAATAATTATAATTTTAGAAATAATAGTTTAAATATAAATAAAAATATTTTTTTTTATATCAAAAACAAAAAAAAATCATTTAATATACTTTATAAATAATTTTTTAATCAAATTTATCTATATATATATATAAACAAGAAAATTTAATAATAATTTAAATAAATAAATTTTTAAGTGATTTTTTTTCTTTTTTTATAAAATTTAGAATTTAATACTTATTTATAATAATATAATAATTTGAAATTTATAATTTTTAATTATTAAACTTATAATTTTTATTATAGAATAGTATTTTTATTAAAAATAAATTTATTAATATTATATATATATTTCATTCTTATTAAAAAAGATTTAAAAATTTCATAGATATATTTCATTAATCATTATATATTTACTAATCTTCAAATATATAATGGAACACATTAACCATTTTTATTTAGTGTTGTTAAAAATTAACAAACTGTGCAATCATTAGCTGATTCTCCATTACATCTTTTACATGAAGCATCACATTATTAGCATATTTTACCGTGTCTATAATAACCATTGGGACAAATCATTTGACAACTTCTATCAGGACTAATCACTAAATTTCCAGTACAATTATTTACACATACTCCGTTTTATACTACATAATTACATCTTACAGAACAATCAATTCCAGCCCATCCAGGTAAACATAAACAATATCCTCTTACACAAATACCCACAGAGCTGCAATGATTTATACATAAAGGAACAGAATCACAGAATTAAACAAATGAGGAAGGGCAAACAATTTTACCAAAACTATCATTTTTAGGATTAATTGGCATAACTTCTCCTTATTTTGTACAAATAATTTATCTATTAATTTAAGGTAAACTAATAATAATAGATTTCATATCAGAAGAACATTTATATATATGACATCTTTTTTATATATCATTTATGAATTTAACTCCATTAGTACTTGTTGAGGTAAAGCATTTACTATTAACACCATAAGCTTCTAATTTTATATCAACATTTTTATTTTTAAAATTATTCTTAAAAGAAGTACACAAATTTTCGCCATAAATACTTTTCATCATACATTTATCTAAGTAAGGAGTAGTAGCAGGTTCACCATATCCATCATTTTCGAAAGAACATTAAACTTTAAGTTATTATGGGAACTCATGAAAGCTTTGTTTACTATAGCATCCTTAAATTACAAATGAACATCCTTTTCCTTTACCCCAATAAAGGTTATCTGCCATTTACTTAGATAACCAGTCTAATAAAGCAATAGTATGAACTGATAATTAAGCATCTGTAATTACTTCACTAGACATCATCATTTCATTTTAAACAATTAGTTATTCCCAATGAGAACCTAAAGAACCAGCTCCTCCTTCATTTTCAAGTTACATACCTTCCATAGTAGGACAATTATAATATTTCCTAGCAGTTAAAAGTATATTTTTTGAGAAAACTATTTGTGTCTTTAAACCTCTATAGATTACATCTCTTGTTATTTTATGTAATCCATATTATCCATAATATTTTCCTGTATCAGGATCTATCCAAAGTTGCATTTAAAATCCACTAAATCCTAGGATATGTATGATTTCATGAACAGTAGTTTCAACATCATTCTCAAATGATTCATTGTCATCATTTATACCGACTAAACCTAAATTAAATTAAATTCTACCAAAAGAAGGTCTCAAGTGTTACTCGTTGTGAGCACATACTAAAGCGTTTGCTAAATCTCCATCTTATGGCTTATTTTTAGCTATGACATAAATATTTAAATCAGAATTAGGAATACCTATGGTTACAGCAGAAGTTGGAATTCTTACACCTTCGCAATCTAAATTCCATAATTTGCTATTGTAAGGAAATTTGTTATTACCTTAAATTGGGTATACTTTTAAAAGTTTTTAAAAATACAGTTTAGCTATATCCATTAATCTTTATAAATAATTTAGTTATTTATAAGATAGATTTTTATCAATGAATTAGTAATCAATAGTGATTCTAATTTGCATAATTAAGTATTCGTTTAGACTGTATTTCTTAATCATCTTAAAGTCTATAATATAAATTCTTTTCTAACCAATGATGTCTACATTTATAAGAGTGCAGTTTCGACTAGGAAAAAACAACTAAACTATAATTTATTTTTAATATGCATTTTACTTTTAATTTATTTTCAACTAATATATATTTTATTATAAAATTTTTAGATTTTTATAATTTAATTAATTTTGTATCTATTAAAAAAAATATATATATATAAATATTGAAATAAATAATATTTATTAAAAAAATAAAAAGATAATATATCATTAAATATGTATTTAAAAGTTTTAACTAATAAAAATTAAATTGAAATTAACTATATTTATTTTTATTACTATTTTTTGATTATTATTAATTATTAAAGATATATCTCTGTATAAAGTGATTATTGATTATGAAATTAATCTATTATAAAGATATATAAAAACAAATATATATTAATTAATTTAAGATATTAATAATATTATGAAAAAAAAACAATTTTTACAATAACATGAATTAATTTTATACTATTATTTATAATTAAAATAATTAATTTTATTGTTCATAATTAAAAATAATATTTTTTTTATTTAATAAATATTGAAAAATAAAATTATATATTAAAAATATATATATTAAAATTAATTTTATGTTAAAAATATTAATAAAATGCTAAAAAATTTGAATACTAAAAGAAAATGTTTTAATCAATATAAAAAATATCTAAAAATAAATAAAAATAAAAATAATAATTTATAAAAAATATAATAATAATCTATGAAAATTTAAAAGTATTTTATTTTTTAATAAAATTCAAAAATATATAATAAAGAAATTGGATTAAAAATATTTATATACATATATATTTTCAAATTTAATAAGAAATCTTTAAATAAATGTATAAAATTATTACACATTTGATATTAACATTATCATTATTTTTAAAAAAAAATCTAAATCTTAGAAGTATTTATTCCAAAATTATTTACAATTTTTTCGTTTAAAATTTAATTTTTGTTTGTTTTTGATAATAAGTATTAAATTTAATAAAAATTTCATCATTTTTTTTTATATAATAATAAGCCCTAAAATTATAAAACTAAAAATTAAAATGGTTTATTTTTGATATATATATATATAAAAAAATATATAATTTTTGTGTTTAATGTAATATTTTTACCAAAATATAATAATTTAAAATACAATTATCATATTAATATCAAAACAAAACAAAACGCATTAAAAAAAGTATAAATTAGATTTATTTTAAATAATAAATAAATAAATATAAGAATTACAAAAACAATACTATTATGTAAAGTATTCCTATACTATATTATACATTTAATTAAAAAAATCATATATATCAGAAATATAAACTAAAATAATAAATAAAATTAGTAAAGATATATGTTAATAAAAAAAAAACTAAACCCATAATATAAGATTAAAAACTATTATATATATGAATTACACTATTATAGTTGTGATTTTTTTTAAAAAAAAATGTAATTTACTGAGAAGTATTTTAAAAAATTATTATTAGAAGGAAATATTCATAATAAATAAAAAATAAATATAAAAAACATAAGCATATAAGTGTAATAAAGTAAATAATATAAAAAAATATATCATTTATAAAAATATAATTAATAATTTTAGAAACAATAGATTGAATATAAATTAAAATAAAATAATTTTTTATATAAAAAAATAATAAATATTATATAACCTTCTTTAATTTTTTATTATTTCCTAATTTTATATTTGATATATAAAAATATTTTTATATTTGCAATTAATATATATTATTTATTTATATTAAGATTTTTTATTTAAAGTCTTCTTTTTAATATATTATTTTAATAATTATTTAATTTTATTCAACGAATATATAATTAGTTATTTACTCATTTAAGGAATGTATATTATCATTCGATTGTATGATTATTTGTTTTATTTATCTGAGTATACTAATGAGCTTACATATTATTTAAATAAATGATATTTGATTTTATTTTTTATAATTATTATTTATATACATTTTTTTTTATTTTTATCATTATAATAAATTAAAATTGACTTAAATACTTATAATTATATATATATATATATATATAATTTTTATTATTTATTATTAATACTTAATTATTATTTTTTTATTAATTTATTTGAAATAATAATATAAAATGAAATACTAAATATTTTTATATTTTTAAAAGTTTATTACATTATTTTATATTAACTAAACCTCAGTTTTAATTAATTTATTTATTTAAATTCGATATAAAATTAAAATCTCCGTAAACAAAAATAGAGTTTATTCCTAAATAAAATAAAAGATTTTTTATTGCAATTTATAATTAGAAAATTTTTTCTCTAAACTAAATAATTTTAAAATATGAAAGTTATTCTAAAATAAACTAAAATATTATTAATTTTTTCTAACTTGCATTATTCTTACATAATATTTTTATTATTTCTTTTTTAAAAGTCTAATTTAAAAAGTCTTATTATATATAACTTTCATTTATTTATAGAATTATATGTGCTTAATTATTTTACTAAATTTACTATAATTAAAAATTATAAATATTATATTCTTAATTTTCATACTTCTTTTTTAATTCTTTTTCTTTTTTATCTAAATATTGTATTCTTCTTTTTTAATTAATTTATTTGATTTTCTCTATTTCCTAAAATATCAAGTAATATTAATCAGATCTTTCTTATTTTTATTATAATAAGAATTATTAAACTTGCGGTTATTATATTTTTATTTTTTATAACCATTCAAAGATTGAATATTTGTTAAAATATTATAATTATATATTTTTAAGTAATATTAAAAGATCGTTTTGATTTAATTAATTAATATTAGTTTATTAAGTTTTATTTTTGACTTTAAGTTAACAACTTTTTAATTAATAACTTAATTCGTGTTTTTAAAAATATTATTTTTTATTACTTTTAAACTGGTCATGATTATTTTAAAAAATTAAATTTTATTTAAATTAATTTTCAGATTAATACATGCAATTAAATACAAATTCTTTATAATCATTATTAGTTTCTTTCATTTTTACAACAAATAAACTAAATAAAAATAATTTTATTAATATTATTTTCAAATTAAATTATTTTATTTTAGCTTAAATAGATAATAAAATCATAAATAATTTTACTACTCAATATAGTAAAAAAAAAACATAAATACAGAACTAAAAAGAATACTTAATATTAAAAATATAAAATAAAATATATTAATAATTTTTAATATAATTATAATATGAATAGTTTTCTAAAAAAAAAAATGTTATAATCAATTCCATTTAATAATAATAATATTATTTTAACTAATTAAATAATCTTATATCTCTACTTTAAGATTCATAACTTAACTTTATAGACATATATCATTCTGGTGAATAATAATGAAAAAAAGGAGAACTAAAAGCAACTGGTTAGTTGCGTCATTAGTATAATATAGACTGCTATTTAAATGACTAATATCCCGAATTTCTATCCAAATCCTTTAACTATTACTAAGTATTTGTCCTTTCTACAAATTTAAATTATCCATTAATGTCTGGTTAAGCAAATTTACAAGGCATATTTCCTGTAGATATCAGCCCTTATTTAAACTAAGTTTTAGACTTTAAAAATACTTATCCTCCATATAAGCAAGTCCCATTTATATACTGACAACTAATACAGAACCTTATGCATAAAATGTAAGATGTAAGCCATATTTATTAGAATCATATATAAACTATAAAATATAAATTAAATCAGAAATAAATATTATGAATAAAGAAAAACCTACTAAATTTCATAAATAAAGAATTTGAAAATACAGACATTTTATTCAAAAAATTCTTAAAAAAAGTCTAATATATTATTAAATATAAATTAATTAGAAACTGTTTTTTTTAAATAAAAAAGAAGATTTTTTTTTTTTTTAAAGAAATGAAAAAAAACATAATCAACCTAACTTCTTAATCTTTTAATTTAAAATTATAAAATAAAATTAGTCTATAAAAGACTTTTAAATTATAATTTCCCATTATTTAACTTTGAAATTATTCTAAAATATTATTACTGAAAAAATAGAAATTTGAAATAAGCTATGTATATGTATGTGAAATAAATTTACATTTGTTGGGTTTTTCGATAAATATAAAATATAGAATGTTAAATAATTAAAATAAAAATATTAAAAAAATATAAAAGTTTAAATGATAATATATTCTAAAATTGCTTCTATTATTATTTTTTAATTATATAAATATTAAATATTAATATTTTGTAATTATTTTAAAAAGGTAATATTATTTAAAGGATAGGTATAATAAATAGTTTACATTTAAATGTGATGAAAATAATTCTAATTATTGCTAAAAAAAAGTTTAAAAAAAATATATAATTAAAATATAGATTTAAATAAAAAATATTTTTTTATGTATGATATATAAAGTATATATATATTTGAAGATTATTGTAATTTTATTAATAATTAGTTTTTTTTTTTCTAATTTTGTAAAAATAAATATAGAAAAGCATTTATAAAGTTGTAAATAATAAATAAAATAAAAATAAAAAAAAAATATAATAAAATAAAATAAAAAATATATTATTTTTATTTATTATTATTTTTATCTTTTTAAATTTAAATTTAGTTTTAATATTTAAATAATAAATTTGTACTTTTTTATTTTTTAATATAAATTAATTATTTTTTATATATAATTATTTAAATATAAAAATTATTAAAATTAAGATTTTAATATAAGATATAAAATATATTTATTAATCTAAAATAATAAATAAAACACTTTATTTTATTTTTTTATAAAGTGAGGTTAAACTTTATATAATTGACTTCTAAATAAAAATAATTTTA